AGGCGTCAGCACCTACCAAGCACTCAAAGCCCTAAGACCCTAAGAGCTGTGTGAGCAAAAGCTTCGGGGTAGTGCTGGGTGTTCTTCAGAACGAACATCTTACTATGCTCGTGGTTTCCAGGGCACTTTAATTTATCCATGCAGTGAATGAGAACATGACTGTTCGAGCACAACCTCCAAACCTTCTTCACAGGAAGTGCGTCCATTCCAACCATACCGCAGGCACAACCATGCACAAGAGCGGTCTCATGCGGATTGATCTTAAGGAATGACTTCGTAGCGGACCATCCCCAGTAAGCACAACGCTGCGGCCACTCAATGACCCAAGTTGCCGAATCAGATGTGTTGACTAGCTTCAAGAAGCTCTTCCAGAGCTTTCTGTGGACTGTGAAGAGTCCTTTCATCCTTTCATCATAGTGATCTGCAGATCGGGCTTGGTGATAGCGCTGCCAGGGCGAACCACCGGTACAGGGCGTCGAGGCCCACACAACAACATGCATGTTCCGACGGTGTGCCGCACGAAGGGCGTGCTCAATGAGCTCAATGGTCTCTGGGAGAGTACCATCCGTTTCTTCCGTCACGGGAATAGCATGAATGCCATAATGGCTAGCAAGCTTAGTCAACCAGGCTTCTCCAGAGGTACAGAACTCGACCATCACAATGTAATGCGGTGTCTGCAACCTACAACGACCAACCAACACACTCCAAGGATCATCGACGCTTGCAGAAAACAGACCTTTGAACGCGGCAAACACAAGGCAACGGACCGGGGGCGCATCACCTCGAAGATAGTCACTACGGGTGAGACGTTCCTCAAGACACAACTGTCCTATATGATACCAAGTTTGCGCGACACGCAAGTTCTTTGTTTGCAAGTCGGCGACGTTATCCGTTCCTGGGACGTGTGTAACCAGGATCTCGCCGTTCTCAACCTTATCCTGCAAGTAGCAAAGACGAAGGTCCACATGACGCATCCTTCTCAGGAAGCCGGACATCATACTGACCTGGCGAGCGGAAGAGCTGTCCGTAGGCAGGTATAGGGGTTGCGCAACGCTTTCGAAAAGGTGGCCAACAAGTTGCCCCAATCCTACAAGCTCGCGCGCCATCTCGACCATCGCGAAAAGCTCAGATTCCGCACTGGAGAGTGCTACGATAGGCTGGAGCCTCGAATAAGTCTTGATGCAGTTCCCATTAAGGTAAATCACTCCTCCGCTGGTGCTCTTCCGTCCAGTAGAGCGCTCAGAGGCCCAATTAGCGTCGCTGAAGCCAACAAGGGTTGCAACTCCCGGTCGGGCTTTGGCGTCCTTTTGAAAGACCTGAACAAGATCGGGAACCTCCAAAAGCCAACGGAGCACTTTACGCATACAATCCTCATGCACAGCGCGCGGACAGGCTTGACCTCTAGACAGCATGGAGTGAAAATAACACAAATCCCCCCCGGTTTGCACAAGCCAGCCTAGTTTCCCTAGGGTGCTTCTAAAGCGGCTCGCGGCTTCAGGGGAGAGCTCTTCGGAGGGCTTCTCGGGGTCTTCCTTGTCAAGGATCGATCGGAGGTCTGGTGGTGCGGTGCAGGGCTTCATCTTCCTGCGGTTCTCCTGGCTCCACCCAAAAGCCTCGAAGATCGAATCGACGTATTCTTTCTTCACAGCCAACAAGATCTCATGGCCACGCTTGATTATCTCACGGCCTAGGAATCCGATCCTGCCGTCCTCATCCAAGCGTCCAGTCAACTTGACCTTAAGACGGCCCATGAGGAAGTCTAGAAGCTGTTGGTTTGCCTCTTTCGTTCTTGTGGCTAGCAAGATGTCGTCGACGTACACAAGACAAAGCACAAGGATGTCTCCCCAATACCCTTTGTACAACGTAGGTTCAATAAGAGAAGGAAACAATCCCAACTCAGCAAGAAGTCCAGCAAGATGCTTCTGCCACGAAAGGCCTGCCGATCTCAAGCCATATATGGCTTTCTCCAGGATGACGTAAACCTTAGAGCCATCAAGGTTCTGAAAGCATCCCGGCAACTCAAGCACGGTATCAAGAACCAACTTGGCATACAAGAAGGCAGTCGAAACGTCAAGTCCCCAAAGGACAAGCGTATCCTGGACAACACGACAGATGAAAGCCTTGAAGGCCTCCACAGAAGCAGTCTGGCTCGCAATGCCCAAGTCAAGCGCCGAAGGTTGATTGAAAGCAAAGTCTTTTGCAACAAGGCGCGCACGCACAATGTGCTGATCGTCAACATCAACCTTGTCAGTGAAGACAAAACGCGACTTAATGATCTTGGCACCTGTCTCCTGGCAGTGGGTCTTAATCTCATCATAGGTGCGGGCGTTGCCGACACCCAAGTTGTGCATAGCAGACACCTCTTTCTGCATGCCAACCCACGTTTTCTCAGGATCCAAAGGCAAGCCACTGACATCATCAACCACAGAAGTGGGCTTGATGACCCACACCTCCCGATCACCGAAAGGCATGGTCACCCCCTCATCGGGGTTACTATGCTGAGCGGGCGCTTTCCTCTTAAGCTGCGCAGCAAACAAGCCAACCTCACCGTAATCAACAGGACTCAGGTGATGCTTCTGGTCCGGAATCACTGAGAACATGAACTGAGGCATGCTCGTACTGTCAAGAACATCCGGGACCTGCGCCACATCCATAGGCACGGCGTAGTCGTCCATATCAACCTGATCCATCTCAACATCTCCTCCAGGGAGATACTCCTGAGGGAGCTCAGGGTCTGGAGCTGCTTGTGAGGGTTCGGGCACCAGGTGCTGCAGATCCTCAGGAACAGGAGACCCAGGAAGGCTGGGCTCGTAGTCCAAGCTCTCTTCTTCAAACTCCACAACTTCAGGGTTCGGGTTGATTTTTACTTGAGGCTTGCCGGGGGCTTGTTGCTGTTCTGGGTTATCAAGATCACCGAGCGTATCCCTGATGTAATCACGAAAGCGTACTTTGCAACGTCTAGAGTGGAAGCGCGATCTACCTAAGCATCCCGGACAACGTGCCGTTTTGTTGTTTTCAAGCCATTCAGGCGGCGGTTGCGGCAACGGGATCGCTTTCCTCGGTAGGGCTACCCCTGGAAGGCTTTCATAATCAGGCTCATCAGGATTAGCCTCGGCGATAGTGGGTAACAAGTTCGACGAGAACGTCACTGGGTAGGCCATCTTGAGAGCCCGGGCGACGCATCTTTTCATAGACCCATTGGAGAGTCTGATCATGCAGTGATGCCCTTGCCCACCAATCACGGGGCCGAGATAGGCACCAATGTCCTAGCGACCATCAACTTGTGATGCAAGGTGTTCTGGGGGCTGAATGTACATGATGCAAGCAAAAGGAAACAACAAGTGAGGCGTGTGACTCTCACCCAAAGCTCGCTGCAAAGGACTCAACAGTTGACCTTGTGACGTTCCAAAACGGTTGTGTGAAGCAGCAGCATGGCTGTGAAGCAGTTCCATCGCTTCCTCATTAGCCAACAGCTTCAAACCACTCACACCTTTAGCATGAAGCTCGTTGGCCAAAGCTGTTTCTTTAAGCGTTCGGATCGCTCTCTCAGCTACCGGGGCGTGTCTGTTAGGCGAGGTTTTTGTAGAAACTGAACTCCCACCTGTAACCTCAACGACCTCGGCTGCCATAGCTGCTAAAAGCGGTTCCCCGTCGTGCACAACATGAACCTCTTTAAGGCCGAATGATTTGAGGAATCTGACTAGCTTACCCACCGTGACCTTTCGATTATCTCCCACACAAGTCGCAGCTGTCCCTATACAATATGTCGGCACGTGCACCACAGCGATCAAACGGATGCCTCGATACCAGTATTGATCCATCTGTACCTCAAGTGGGTCGACACTTTTGCGTGTTCGGGCGGGCGCTAGCCCTTTAGACCTTACACAGCTAGGACAGCCACCCCAGTAGGGGGTATGACCCTGACGTTGGTGGCGCAATCTAGCTTCGGCTCCGAGGTCTTCGGGGAGAGCTTCTTCAGGGTCTACCGGGGGTTTGGTGTTGTTCGGGGCGGTTCTCTCTAACCCTTCACGGTCATCACCATCATCATCAAAAAGCTGTTCTAGCTCTCCAACACCAATGGTATCACCCACATCACCTGAATCAAGCAATGGGCGACCGACCGACATGCACGCTGAACTACCTACTGGCACACAGGCTGCACGACCTACCTGCAAGCAAGCTAGACTACCTACCGGAACACAAGCTGGGCAACCTACCTGCACGCAAGCTGGACTACCTACCGGAACACACGCTGGGCAACCTACCTGCACGCAAGCTGGACTACCTACCGGAACACACGCTGGGCAACCTACCTGCACGCAAGCTGGACTACCTACCGGAACACACGCTGGGCAACCTACCTGCAACACTTCTCTGGCAGCGGCACTCTGCAAGACGACTTCACGAGCTCTCTCTTTTGGCTGCTGCTCAAGAGCAGCTAAAGTTACAGGTCGCTGTCGCTGCTGATCTCGACCTCTTCGAGGTTTATCACCGGATGAACCAAAGGTGCTGGTTTCGCTGCCGTTGCCAAACTGGTCGGCGGCGCCACAGGTATCTCCTCTGGCGTGGGCATCTCGATGGTGTAGTGAACGTTCACCAGAGCCCGTGGCTTTGGTGCATGCTTGGATGCCGGCATCAGCTTCTTTGGTGTAGTCTTTGGTGTGGCTGTCGGCGGCATGAGCGACGGCGCTGCTGTGGGCGTTGGCATCGGCGCTGAACTCGGCGCCACTGGTACTGTACTCGGCCTCGGTGTTGTGCTCGGCTTCGGTGCTGTGGTCGGCCTCGCCGGATAGGGCCTGTAGCGGTAGTCCATGGGGATCTGCGGGGGCACGTGCATCTGCATGGGCACCGGAAACTGCATAGGAACCTGCATCTGCATGGGAAACTGTACGGGCACCGACCTTTGAGCTGGAACTCGAGGAGGCTCCGGCATGTTCTCCATCTTGGGCGCAACTGGTGCAGGAGGAGGGGCCGGTGTCCTTGTAGAAGCGGCCATAGACGTAGCTTGTTTCCGAGCCGCGGCCGCGGCCTGAGTAAAGCTCGTCACTTCTCGTTGGCTCAGGAATCCCATCTGAGCCCCTTGCAAAGCCGAGAATGGCATATGCCTCATCGTAGGATCCGCCACCGGAGGTGTTGTAGCAGTCGAGCCCTTCGGCGGCTCTGGGGTCGCTGCTTTCGGACCCTTCGGCGGCTCTGGAACCGCTGCTTTTGGATCCTTCGGCGGCTTTGGAACCATTGCTTTTGGATCCTTCGGTGGCTTTGGAACCACTGCTTTCGGATCCTTCGGTGGCTTTGGAACCACTGCTTTTGGACCCTTCGGATCGGCAATCTTCGGAGCGGCCCTCGGCGGAGGTGGTGCTGTCCAGATGTTGGGCCGCGCTGCTGCGACCTTTGGAGGACTCTTTGGCGGACTCTTTGGCGGACTCTTCGGGGGACTCTTTGGCGGACTCTTCGGGGGACTCTTTGGCGGACTCTTTGGCGGCGTGGTTGGCCCCTTTGGTGGTGTAATCGGAGACTTCGGTGGTGTGGCTGGCCCCTTTGGGGGCGTACTTGGCACCATAGCTGTTGAGCCTGGGGCCTTCGGTGGAGTCACAGGCTGCTCTGTGTCCCACGTATCGCAGACAACACCCCCTGCCTCCTTTCGCTGGCTCGCTGCCTGAACAAGGCTAGATCCGCAAACTTCTCCTGCATAACGGCGTCCTGGGAGCTGGCCGCGGGCCCACCCGAACCAGGAGCAGTGTTGGAGGCCGTGGTGCTCGACGTTGGTCTCCAATTGCCCCAACACTCGTCCTCGTCCGTCTCCTCCTCCTGTGCTTCCACGCTCATAGGGACCGTGTTCGGCTCCGGCACGGGAGGCATAGAGGTTGTATCCGGCTCTGGCATGGGTGGCTTGAGAGGAGCCACCTTCCCACGCCACGCGTACACAGGAGCAGCCCCGACCGGGCTGTCTGGAGAATCTTGCCTGGCCAGTGCCCTGGCACCAGCCTTCGTAAGAGCGCCGCGGGGAGAAGTCTCCGATCCTGGCAGAATCAACGGACTCGGTGGCTCCACCGGGCTGCTTTCGAAGAGGCTCGCAAAACTCATCGGCGGACTCTCTTCCACCTCTGCTGTCGGCACGTCCGGCTCTGTGAGGTGAGGAGACAATTCCGGGGAAGAGACCGGAGTCGGCAGCGCCACGTCGTTGGAGAGCTCCGTCTGCTCCGCCGGCAACCTTTGAACCCGGAAGGTCGAGTTCTCCATGTCCTGGTCCTCCATCTCTTGGTCCAGATTCCACCCAGACATCACGCCTTACACACCCTATTTGGCCTTCCGAGCACAAGCGGCTTTGGGTTTCGGGGTGTTCACTACCGGGACCTAAAAGGTGAGAAGACGCAACCGACCGACCGACGCACAAGCTACCTACACTCCTAGATCCTACTTCTCCTAAGGGGTGAGACGAGGCAACCGACGAAGCTGCACTGCCTACGCTTCCCTTCTCTTCACTTTGCAAAACAAGCATAGAAGGATCTGGCTCTACATAGGTGCAAGCCTTCAACCACGAAGTGTTGGCGTACAATTCTGTCTCAAAGCGCAGACCACCCGGAGGATAGGCTACGTGTAACTGAGGATCATAGTCATAATGAAAGATTCTAAAGCCTAAAGACTGCAAGATGCCGGAGCTAAGGATGCTTATCGAATTGGGAGCAATATACGCTTCCAGCTGCACTCGAATCTCTCTGTAAGTTTGGGTTCCAGAGGGCCCTTCTTCGGAACAAGGGAACCAAAGCTCTAGCAACCCATACCTAGTTATCTCCATAGTTTGGTCGTTGGCGACACTTACAAAGAGGGGCTCAACCTCAAGCTCTCGGATCAGCTTCGCAGTCACTCCAAGCATGTCTTGCGAAACAAGGTGAACACTCCCACCGCTATCAATCAAGAGATACGAGGGGTCGTCCCTAGTGACTGCAGGGAGTGCCAAAGTTGGAAAAGCAAGGCACTCTGAAGACCGATCCCGAAGCTGAGGCTGCGGCGCGGAAGCAAGGCTCAAAGCAATCACTGCTACGGCTACGCAAGCAGACGTGAAACATGACTGCCGTGGGCTACTCAAGCATGCAACCAACCGACAAATCAAGCATCCTACCATGCAAAACATGAAAAACGTGAAAATCAAGGCAGTCATGGTGAAAAACTGTCCCCTCTCAGGCATTGCTTCAGAAATCTGCCCTGCCGCGGGCAACAATGACGACATAAGGAGGGCCGCCTTGCCAATCTTCCCGGCACCCTTTGGAGCAGTGGGAGCTGGCGCAGCATTCGAGGGAGGTGCAGGAGGGGCCACCTTGGGAGCGGCACTCTCTGTTGCCGCCGCTGCTGTCGCAGCAGCCTTCTCATCGGCAATCCTCTTCCTGCACTCGTTGGCCCAATGGCCCGGCTTGTGGCAGTAATTGCAGGTGCCCGGCTTCTTCTTCCCAGGAGCCGGCGTCGCAGATCGGGCCCTTCCACCCTTCTTGCCACCCTTGCCTTTGTCCTTTCCCTTTCCTCCTTTGTCCTTGCCTTTGCCTTTATCACCATGCTTGCCTTGGTCCTTCCCATGACCTTTTCCTTTGGGCTCGCCACCCTTGGGCTCACCCTTTTCAGAACGGTCACCACCAAAAGCTGCAAAGCCCTTGGCGTTCGAGGCTTCCTTGTGAAAGTTCAGAACACGAAGCTGCTCATCGTAGAAAACCAAACCGCGCTCAAGCTGCTCCAACGTCGTCAAAGACCCGTGCAACAAAAGGTACTTCTTGCAATCATCATGAAGGTGCTTCAAGATGCAGCTGATAACATCAGCCTGCTGCAGTTCAAGGTCTGGGTACTTGTTGGCAACGAGCGTGCGGTAGCGAGCAAAATCAGAAAAAAAAAAAAAAAAAATATCCAATGGCCGTCTCAAGTGCTTTGGTGGCGCGATCAAGAGAGCCTGCTCTCTGAGCGCCTGTCCCTCCACACGAGACCTAACAGACAGTTCTTTGTTCACCTCACGCCAGAGGTCGTACCCTGCAGCGGCACCGCCTTGACTCAACTCGACAAGCTTGGCTATGTCAACTCCTCGCTGAAAACCAGCGAGAGCCTGCTTCAAGAGGTACCACAGCTTAGTGGAACGAGCGGCCTTCCCCTTTGAGAGGCTGATCTGCTGAACCTGAACACAGCTCTCCACAGCCTCTTGCAGTTCCTCCGCGTAGCGGTCGTCTAAAAGACACAGCCAGGAGGTCAGTTCTTCGCGGTAAGCGGTCCACGTGGAGATTTCCTCATGGCGCGATCTCATCTTGTCTGCTGCCAACTTTGGCAGGGACGGACTGTAGTTTTCCGCCCTGTTGCTGCGCAAGCCTGTGTCCACATCCATCTTCACAACACCATCAGAGTCAACTCTGAAGGCACCCAGGCTTCCAAGAGCTTCAGCGGGCGTCCCTTGGGACGAACTTGCAGCAACAGGAGCTGCACTTGCGGCCGAACTTGCAGCGTTTGCACTCGCAACGGCGAGCGTCTTCACCATCTCGGTGAGCTGCGAAATCTGGCCCTGCTGAGCTCGGATCTGTTCATCCTGGGCTTGCAACATCTGCCTGAAAAGGTTGACAGTGTTGTCTTCTGGACTAGGCACAGTTGCCTGCTGCGGAATCCCTCCTCCGTGAGGGAAAGCTGGTTGCGTTCCAAACTGAGGCTGCTGCTGCTGCTGGAAACCCTGCTGCAACGGAACCTGTTGAGGTACCTGTGGAAAAGGCACCTGAGGCACTTGACCTGCACTCACAAGAGGTCTGGGTCTACTCACAGGCCGGTGTGCTGTCGGACTGTTCCGAGCAGGGAGGGACCTTCCACGAGTCCGCGAGCCAGGTGCACTCAACTCCCGAGGGGTTGAGGGAAAGCCAGAAGAAACTCCACTGGCACGACTAGCACTTCTCCCTGAACTCCGTCCTCTTGGGGAACGGTCGCGGCTAGGCTCGGCTCGTGGGTCCATGGCTCTGAGGAGCAACCTTTAGCTCCGCTACCACGTTAAAACCCAAACGCGCCTTGAGGCACACTTCTAGGTTTAGTAAAGGAGGTGCAAGCCGACTGACTGACTACGTCACGCAAGGCTACAGCAGTGAAAGCTAACAGCACTTTTACACCTTTCGTCGCAACCAACTGTTCACCACGCGCTTGTCACGCAGTGCAAGTCTTGAGCCAAAGCGAAAGGGCGAGGACAGAGACTTCAGCACACTCACTTCCGTGACAAGTCCTAAGGACTCCTAACGGCTTCTCTGCACTGGTAACTCTGCTCTGTGGCCCAGGTGTTCCCCGGACTTCGTCTAGAAGTCCGTTCTCACAGCAAACAAACTGAAAACACTCTGATGTTCATCATGCTTCAGGGAAACATCGTTCTTCGTGAAAACTCGTGAGGAAAACTCCGGTTGGACACGCTTCTGACACTGACAACTTTCACAGCAACGTGAGACAGGAAGCGTAAGCGCAGCGACCGACAGACAGACAACTTTTCCCTACTCCTACCGTTCACAACTACACCTAAGGTTCTCTAAAACTCACAAAGGAGAAACAGAAAGTGTTCCTGACCTTGGCGAGATACAGGGGCACCATTATTGGATTGAAAATCAACTGACTTCGAGCCGGGCGCACCATGCTGTTGAGGGCGCGCTATATGGCGGCCGCCTGCCAAGGGGCCCCACAATGTCCTGCTCCTCGCGGTTCGAGCCGAGGCGATCACTTAGTGGCTCTGATGCTGCAGAGCGGGACCGTTGATGTCGTCCGACAGGGGGGCTTGTCCGCCCTGGCATTTACGCTGGCACGGGAGTCTCCCCGTCAAGTCCATTGGGATGCCCGCTTCACGCAGAAAAAACTTGTCTGGAGGTCTGTGCGGAACGGCCGTTCTCCAAGTGCACCCAGGTGGTTTGCTACTTGGGGCTCCTGGACCCCCTATCCATCTGGCGCTCGTCCCGATGACCACGCTCGGCGTGGTGGCGCTGCACCTCGTCAGGCAGACAACTATGGGGGAGCAGGACCTTGTACGCCGCGACTTTGACTCCTTCCTACGCCGTAGCATTGTCAATGCACAGCGTGTATTACGGACCTATCCTTTCCTCGGAGCTACCCTGGTACAGCAAACCGCCCTCATGAGTGCTCCTCCGCGTGTGCAGCAGTGGCCATGGGCGGCACAGCGATTGAGGAACTGAGGGCATTTAACGGCGGCTAGCAGGCACACTCCAGCCGACCGAACGTCATCCAGCGCCAGCGGCTGAGGCGGCAGCCCATCCGCGCCAGTCTCCTCCGCCATACTCGCCAAGGGGAGTCCGTAAGCGGGGATCACCAGAATTGGCGTCCCCAAGCTTGAGCCCTACTAACAGAGGTGTAGCCACGGAGGTCCGACCCCAGGCGACACAAGCAATGCAAAGCGGCTTTTGATTACAGGATGCTGAAACTCCGCACCCAGCCCAAGGCTGATGGCAGGCCCAACGGGGAAGTCGACTGAATGGGCCCACCACCCTTCAGCGAAGGGGGGCTTCAAGGCCCCCTTCAAGCCCCCCTTAAAGGGGGCTTCAAGAGTCAGACCCTTCAAGCCCCCTTCAACGGGGTTTGAAGGGGGCTTCGACCTTTCATTGGAGGGGCTTGAAGGGTCAGACCCTTGAGAGGGGCTTCAAGGGAGACTTGAAGGGGGCTTGAAGGGGGACTTGAAGGGGAGCTTGAAGGGCTTGAAGGGGGGCTTGAAGGAAGCTTTCAGAAAGCCTTTAAAGAAACTTCAAGAGAAGCAAGAAAGGCTTAAAGGTGGCTGACGGGTTAAGAAACTTTTGTTGCGGAAATGAGACAAGCTTTTTTGATTCGGCTGGATTCAAGACAAGTTACGCCGTGGCGAGCTTTGACTTGTCTGCTTTGCGCAAGACACG